GCCCGGGGAGCGGAGCCGCTCGGCCGGCGCCCCGACGGAGCGGCACGGCCGCGTCCGCGTCGGGGGCCCGGGCCCGACTTCGGCGGTCGCTCGCTCCTTGGCCCCCTCGAAGCGGCTCTTCTCGGCCTCGGGAGCGGCGATCCGAGGCTGCCCAAAGGCTCTGGACCACAACTCCCATCGGCCCTTGCCTTTGGCAGGCTTGAGGCGTGATGGGAGTTGAAGTCCGGGACCTCTGGGTGGCTCGCAGCCTGCTTCTCCCCCTCCCTCGAAAGTCGGAATTCCTGCTCGATTCGGGGGTTCCCCTGTTCACTCGCTTCTCCCGGGCTCCTCGCCCCTTTCTGAGCCTTGGGGAGATGCCCCGAGTGCCCTCTGGAGTGGCTCCCGCTGAACCCAGCCACGAACGCCCCTCACTTCGCTTTTGTCTCCGGGGTGGGTCGTCCCTCTTCATCCCTGCCCACCCACCCTGCTTCTGTCTTTGTATACCGAAAAGGATGCGCGAGCCCTTCGGGATGGCCCTCTCCTCTCCCCCTCATCTTGACTCTTCTCCTGCCAACTGATGCTTGGCTCTGGCGGAAAGCTGACTTGAGATGGCAGGGACATCTGGTCCAGCGTGTAAAGCAGCGGCTGCCGCCTGGGTCTTTTCTGACTGCTGGACAGCAATTGGACAGCCTTACTCTCTGGGGATGGTCAGTCCACAAACTCTTCAGTTGTCTTTGGGGGAGGTCTCGTCCAGGTCTCTGAGGTCTTTCCAGCTGCCTATGATGAATAGTGAATTTGGGGTTTTCATCGTGCAAGATTAACATTAATTAACATTAAGATGTGACCCCTCTGTGTTCTCCATGAGCTGCCCTCCTATCTGCATTGGTCTTAAGGCCCCATTTCTCTCATTTCACCACTTTTCTCTGATGTGTCCTGTTCCATTTTTCTGTAAGTGCTAGCTTAGGATATTCTATAAAATGTGCAAGGTATTCTGTTGCAATATCCTTTTGAGTTGTCTCACATCTCAGTCTCTTCCATATCTCCCCATGTTTTTTTCCCTGTAAGAGCTGGTTCTCCTTATGGAGCTCTACATCACTTCTAAAGTGCAGTTTCTGTTCCTTTTGGCTTCCTTGCCTGTTGTTTTATGAGATTTAGTAGTACTCTAACTCAGAAAAGTTATGTACCATAGAAATATGAGGTGGAATACTTCATAGTGAATAGAGCAGAAATCAAATGTGACTTCAACTCACTTCCTTATGAAAGTAATGTTTTCCTTTAAAATGTCCATATATCTTCCAAGTGTGAAGAGTTGCTTTAAATGGCTTTTCTTCTTATTTCAGAACTGAATAATTCTGCACTGAATCAGATATAGACACTTTACAGTATGTTGCTATTTATATTTTAAAGGAAATGGTTCAATCAGATAGATTCATTTTTAAGTGTTTTGATCTTTTGATTTTATGCTGCAAATCAAAACTGATTGCTAGTATTGTTCTGTTGATTTAAATTCTGAACCAGAAAGTGGTGTATTATTGCTACTTGAATTTGCCTGATATAATTAGATTTTCTAACCTTGGTAAGTCCAACTTTTTTTGTTAAAGGTTTACAATGTGGTAACATGTATATTCTTTTGAGAAGGGTCGTACGACTTTTATTGTGAAATTGTGTGCAGCATACTTAAAAATAATACAGTGAAATGGTTGTTCAGAACAATAAGCAATCATTGTGCAGTTTGGTATTTTTGGATCAGATGACATATTACAAATGTTCTTCAAGAGAAGTTTAAACAACTTCATTGAGTTGTGTTACACCATTACACAGCTCTAATTGATTCCAGTTCTTGAATAGCAATTTTTCTAGGTGTTTGTTAAAAACAAGCAGAACTTAAAGAAAAAAGCTTTCTCCTTCAGAACGATTGGTTACAATTTTTTAAAAATGGGAACTTAATTGAGAGAGCAATCTTGTGTTGGACAAGGAATCAGCGTGCTTCCCCCCCCCCCACAGCGATTTCAGACTAGAAATCTAAATGAAGGCGTTGCAGAACAGAGACACTCAATGAGCTTGTATCCCTGTTCATAGTACAGAGCTGTAGGAATAATGCTTTGGCTGGCAGGCAGACTCGTTTAGAAACTGGAGATAAATGACAGTGCCCCTTAGCTATACCATTATGAGTGTGTGCTTGATGCTCTGCTGGTTTTACATGCTACTTGATTCCCTGTGGTAAAGGGAAGAAGAAAATACCAACCTTTCTTCCTGCTTAACAAACAGACCTGGAAAACTTTTGGCCAGTGTTTTCAGTTGCCATAGTAACTGTGAGCAGGTGATCCCAATACAGTAACTCATTCCTTCAAAAGGAGATTGTTGGTGATCCTGATTTTTGAAAGAATTGTTCATGCCAGTAATCTAGGTCTCTGTTTATGAACATTGGCTTTATTTCTCCCTAATAAGTCAACAAAGCTGCTCAGTTTGTTTTCTTGGAGGTCAAAAGACCAGTTATCTGCATATAAATGTGTAATGATGAATTGATGAGAACTTCAGTGTTCTGATTTCAGTATTTTGTAAGTGGAAAGTTTGACATGAAATTAAAACTTCACCAAATTGTATTGAAAGATAAATCTGGCTGTAGAAAAGTGTTGTTATCTTAATATAGCACTGAATCCAACTTGTATTGAGTATTCCAGGCAGTGCAAAATGTGATTAAATCAGAATTGGAGAAGCCTGTTGCTCCAGGTTACCCAGAAATTCAAACATAAAATTGTTGAACAACCTTGATATCTGGAATTGTGGCACAGCATCACTTAGTTTTCTTACGGGACATGAGGATTTTTAAATGTTTCCTATGGTGACTTATGTCCAGTTGATTTCTGTGTGCTTTGACATTTCCACAAGTATTATATAAGCCAATATGTACAATCTGCAACATCCTCATGTTAAGTATGGTAGGTATTAGAAGTGGTTGAATCAAACCTGCATTTAGATTAAAATTGTAGAGTGCTTGAGTCTCTGTTTTTATTCTTTGTAGTTGGTGTGGCTTTTTCTATCTGTGGTGAGCAATTAGAAAAATAAAACTTTTTTTAATTTACAAGTAGAGTGATGAATTTATGGGTAACTCTCTAGGCCCCCCTCCCATTATTTTGATCAACTGGATGGCACCATAAAGTAGAGTTTCAGATTGTATGTTCACTTGGGGGGAAGATCCTTTGGACTTCCTAATTCAGTCTAGCTAAAGTTTGGCTGTTTTCACTACTTGTTCTCTTGGCTGAAGCAGTCAGAGAAGCTTCATAGCTCCAGGGTCTGGGCTTTACAGATCCAAAATAAGATTATTGTTTCATAATTCCAGTCATTCTCAGGGGAAAAGTTAAGGCAATGAATGTGAAGGGACAATATAACAGACAGCCTTCATGGGAAATATTTATAACTGGCAACAGTTCACTTATCTAAAAGCTTGGGAACCATCAAACCATAAATCTTCTCATGTACTTTTTCCACTGTCCTTATATATGGTGATTGACAAAGCATGTGGTTTGGTTACTTGTGATGATCCATCAAGTTAATTTAAATTCTTTAAGGTCTTATTGAACAGGCCTAATTCCTTCTAAAAATCATTTTAGACACATTTTAAGTAAATCTGTAGACGAGTGCATTTTGAAAAAAAAATCTGTGAATGAATGTGCCTGTTAAATTACAGAGAATTTAAAAATAGACTGGATGTTCATTTCAGGTCAACAAAAAACATGAATTGCCACTAACAACCATTGCTATATTTCCTGCAAGTTGGATAATGTACACTAGAGAAATGAACAGAGCATTTTACGGTGATGTATAAAACACTACGATGCGTATCATATGTAATGCAGACATCCAGTTTAAAGAAGAATAAAACCCTTATGGCTGTTTTGTCCTCTTCTAAAATGGAGATCATCATTAGAATATATGTGATTTGTGTTATGTCTGACACATTATGCCATTAACAGGAGAATTTAATTTAAAATGGACTGTGGGCTCATCATGATATGATTTTGTTTTGAACTATCTCAGAGATGGATGATGCAAGCTATGCTTTGTGCTTGTAGCCCTGAAGCATAAAATATTTAACCTAGGACTTTATAAAGTTCTCAGTGGTGCTCTAGAAAGTTGCTGATGGCCCAAAAAGCAAAGTGATTTAATGGGTTAACATTCTTCAGAAATGTTCTTCCATGGCGACTGGAAAACATACCAAACGAACGCTGGCGATCTTGGATACCCAGAAGACTCAGCAGCCAATGATGATCTGAAATGGTTGGATGGCTTGCTGTGTTTGCTTGAGCTGAACTGTTGAGAACAGGCATGTTGCTTCCTTTCTTGAGTTTCTGCTGACAACTGCTGTTAGGAGAATTAAGAAGGGTTTCAGCAAAAGTGGTTTCTTCAACTTCCAGTCAAATCCCTGCTTGAGTCCTAAAGACTTACTGTGCCACCTCCATGTGGCTTGTTGGGGTTGTTTGTTTGTGGCTTGATTAGATGAAGGTTTTTGTTCTTTTCTCTTGGAAGGCATACCGATTTCTGCCGGATCAGTGTGCATTTCTGGAGCCAAGTTTATGGGGGCAGGGTGGTGCTATACAGCCTTCTGTTTACCAGATGGCTCCCCCCTTTATTAGATCTGTCTGCTTAGCACATAGTGAAATAGGAATGTGAAGTCCTGTCATACAAATATTTGTTTTAACACAAAGTAGATGCTGACTGAATATATTTTGATGTGTGTGAGTGATAATATAACTTTATTTCATCTGCAAACCCAAATATGTAATGGGGAAGCCACATGTATTTAAATCCAGTTAAAAGGTCATGTTTTATATCTGATAAAATAATATTGATTTGAGTGGTACTCTGATCCAGGAAATTAGAAACACTTAGCATTGTCTGTTAACATGTTTGCATAACAGATGTTTGCCACAATTCACCTTATACCAAATATTCAGAGAAAAGGGGTTCTATAAAGCACATGTGCTTGCATTAATGCATATCTAATCCCTGAGTTAGTACTGTATTTCAACAATACTGCTCTAGTGATCTTATACAAAGATTCAGTAGTCCCTGAAGCACCTTTTGTTGCTTCCTTCATTTTTTGGATCAAGGAAATGTCCCTGGGTCTCATTTATAGGTCTTTGGCAAAACCAAATAGTAGGGAAAGAGAGAGATAATTTTAAAACTGGCAAATTTACAACAGCAAAAAAAAAAAAAAAGTATAAATAACTGGGGATAGTGGAGAAAAAGAAATGAATATATGTCTTGATAAATAAAGGGGAAATCATAAACCAGATTGCAGCCTGGGATATAGAATTCCAAGGGTGAGGAGACTTCTCTTTTTATTTTTGTTTAGCACATCACTTGTTGAAGGAGTTTAGCACATCACAAGTTCTTTTAACAGAATCCATACAGATTTTGATATATCAAAACCAGATATTGTTTGTCTGATTTCTGATAAGAGTTTTCATTAAGGTTAAACAGATGAGGCTAAGGAAATATTTGTAGAGTGGTTGATCAAATTTTTAATGTTAACATCTACAATTTTGGAAGCATCTTTAAGTGAGAAGATATTTGTGAGCCGCCAAGACTTTTGTGATTGCGGTGGGATATAGGTTTGATTAATGGATCAAATAAATATGCTGGAAAATAAAACGTGTGTTCTGTATTCTGTGTGGAAATTCTCTGATCTTCGAAGCAGGCATACTTAGTGCCAGATCAAAAGAATTATACAGCTAATGTCACATACTCAAGGGAACTTTCAGTACAGCAGTGAAGAACTGCTTTTGGCTTTTAAGAGGGGGTTCAAAAGCAGTTTCTGGTGAATGAGGTTGGCATCTCAGCGATTTGATTCCTTTTTCCAAATGGAGCACAGCTCCTGGAAATAATAGGAGCAGCACAGCTATTGCTTTTTATATTAAAAAAGAGATTTGTGGTATAATTTTGTATTTCCATTTTTTCTTATTAAAATTCATCTAAATCTAAAACAAATGTAACATGTTTAGGCCACTTCAGGCATACAGGGAAAACTGGTTGCATTACTTCTATTTCTATTGTCTTTGCACTTTTGTGACTAGGAGAGTCCCAACAGACATTTCATAAAATACACTGGGCAAATGTGTATTTGTAACGTTGTAAGGAATTGTATTGGGGAACTTCAGATGAAATTCCAAACCATGATTTGGCATCCTGCGAGTGAATGATGGGAGTCTTAGGTGCTCCTACTTTCCTGTTGTGCCAAAATTACTGCTTCCTGTGCTGGTTTAGGACCAAAAAACCCTGGCTTATTTTATGAACTGGGAAGTATGAATTTGCAATTTAAGTTCCTTCTGCTCTGCGTCCTCTTTGCCTCCCATTGTAGAAATGAGGTTTATTATATGCCTACATTTTTGTCTAGGGTTTGCACAGAGGGCTTGAGACCATGCATATCAGTAATATTTATAATTTGTCACTCTTTTAGGGAAAAGAAATGGGTGACAGTTGGTGACACATCCCTTAGGATTTACAAATGGGTGCCAATAACAGAGCCTAAAGTAGATGATGTAAGTATTTCATAATGTCCAATTAACTTGAAAGTTTAGAGAAAATGACTGTTTTGCTAGCATAATAACATTTTGTTAAATGTTAGGTATCCTTTTCTAGAACCATTGTCTAACATGAAACTTTGCAGTGAACCCTCATACAAAAGTTTACTTTATAGCAAAGGTCTTATGAAAAGATTTTCTCTCCATTTGTTGGAAGCAACACTTTTCAGCTCATTCTTAGCCACTGAGGAGTTGCAGATGACATCACATAAAAGACTTTACAGCCACCTGTCTTTGTAGTTACCTTGGAACAGTAACCATTAATGTGTATTTGTGCATAGCTGTTACGTGTTCACCTGTTTTGCCTGCAGAGATCCGCATAAAACACAGACATCCCCAATACTGAGTCAGTGCCTTCTATAGCATGAGGCTGTCATCTGGCCATCTCCATCTAACTTTGAGAGTGTTGCCTGACCCTGACGCTCTCATTTCTGAGTTGGGGCTCCCTTTCGATCATCTGGATTTTCTTTCTCTCAGCAGGCACGGTATATTGAGATCCGTGCAGCTGGCACTTTCTCCTAGGAGACCAATTACGTCACCTTCTAATTGAAAGTGCCGCATCCTTTTTCATGCATGGTTTTTCACACAACGGATGCTATTGTCTTTCACTGCTGCTTTATCTTTTGCAATGGTTATTGCTTTGGTGTTGGGGTGGGAGGGAATCCTGGCCCATGTGCGTCCAGCAAGGTTTGTGGTTCCTTATGGAGCCAGTTGCTGTCTCAACTAGTATGGATATGAATAAGTGTTATTTAAAAACTGGTAATGATTTAATACAAATTCAGACCAAAGCCCATCATTTTGGTTGTATAGCCACGTATAGAAATATGTGAATGTAGTCAATGAAAATCATGTAGAAAGAAGCCAAAGGATAAATAGGTTTTTTTGAAGTTGTGTAATGATCATATGCAATATTCCTTTAAAAAAAACAGCAACAGCCAACATTCCACCTTTCCGTTTGATATCAAATGTAAAAAGATATCCAAACTAGCTAGCAACAAGATGGCTTAGAACAAGGGGTTAGCCCAATAGTGGCAGTTTTGAGATACAGGTTTCAATGGAAAAGCCTAACTTTCAATGTAGCCTTGCACAAACTTGCGATTTTCATATCCCTTCTCTCAGAAAGCAAAGAATAAGAAAAAAGGTAAAGATGAAAAGTGTGGTTCTGAGGTTACTACTCCAGAAAACAGCTCGTCTCCTGGGATGATGGATATGCATGGTGAGTGGGGCCAGCAGGTGTGGGGAAAGTGAGAATGCTAAGTCTTCATTAAGAGCCACTTTAGATTTAGATTTGAAGAGTGACGTTTGACAAGTACAGAATAAAACTGACAGTGTGGAGGCTAATGAGGCTCCTGCTGATAGTTATTGCACATTATTTTTCTAGAAGTTTGAGTGCAGTAACCTAAAAGGCTGTTTAATAGTCACGTCGACTTCTATTTGGTCTTTCATTTACATTTGTATCCCTGCGTGTTGAATCTTTGTCCCGCCACTGGCTAAATATAAGCACAGTAACCAGTGTGATGAGAAATGGGGAATACATCCTCTGTGATCTGGCTTCGTATCCCTTGTGTTGCTCTAGCTTCATGCTGATTGCATTTGGTTGCCTTTTTAATAAAGTTTTCCAAATTCCCATCTAATGCAAGAGGAGATGCTGAGACACGGAATGGCTGTGTCCCTGGAAGCCTCCAGCCTGATAAAGTTGAACCTGAAAAATTAAGGTTTCTGTCTGTATAGAAGCATGTGCTTAACATTTAAAGTGAGTCATTAAATGTTGCTATGGTTACCCTCAGTGGAATCTGTAATTTTCCCATTCTGGATGTCTCTCTGAGAGGAGAAATGGGTAAATTGGAAGCTCTTCTTAGTCAGCATCATTCAACAAGGGCCTGAGTGGGCCCTGTGATAATTTTCTTAGCATGCCAACCTGTTGGACTTCAGCTTTGGTAATCTAGAATACTGGGCATTGAGCTTCTGAACTGGTTCTGCACCTCTGCTTTAGCTAAGTGAAATACAGATGTGTATGGCACTGAACCAGACACTTATTTTGGCAAGTATGGGGTTGATTGACTTGAAATTTCATTACCTCGATTTTGTTAATAATAATCTTTAGACTCTTTCACCAAGCCAGTCTCTTTTATTTGCAGATGACAATAGCAACCAGAGTTCAATAGCTGATGCTTCCCCAATAAAGCAGGAGAATAGCAGCAATTCAAGTCCTGTGCCAGAGCAGAACTCGACAGGGCAGGGAGATGGTTCTGGCTCAAAGTCTGATGATCCTCAGACTGATGCAAAAGAAGAACCTGGTTCAGAAGGTAATGATGTGGTTCCTGGGACCATTTTCCTGTTAAGAGTTGGCAGGTAGGATACATGGTACAGGCTGTTCCATGTTTTGTAGATGAGAACCTCCTGGTGTTAACAGGCCGACTCTCTCTACTTTTTAAGAGCAGCCCCACTTTCTGCCACACTGAAAACCAATTTCCCACTTAATTCCTTCATTCTTAAAAGATGATTAGTTGAGCTTGTATTCTTGATAGATTGACTCACAGAGACTGCATTTGAGTAGCACCGCCTTACCAAGCAGTTTGTTTTTCAAAATCTTGAAAATCACAGCAGGCACCTTGTTCCGCATACCAATTTGTCACTGTTACGGGGACTCTGATTGCAGTTCCAGATCATTTATTGCCACCTTGTGAATGCTTGAAAAGGAGTTAAGCTTTGCATTGCTCCACCTCCCCACAAGTTATCTGGGTTACAAATACTGTCCACGTGTTTTCAAAGGGTTTTAAATCACCTGCTTATCTTTGTCCAAGATACTACGCTTCCCTCTAGTGGCGGCTCAGAAGCGCTCTAGTCAGCTGCTCGGTGAATTCTATACAGGTCCACTGCAGTTGCCTTTCTATGCCAGATCTTTCCATTTATCCTCTGGTTCAGGAAAAGAAGACCTGTGAGCACTGACATTAGATGAAAGGTACAGCTTCAGCCTTTTCATTTGGAAGTTTTTAAATTAAAAACATCTTTTGAAAGTGCTTGATGCCCGTCCTTTGCAATTTTTTCTATCTCCCTTGTTCTCCTGTAGGAAGGAAAACTTCCTATAATACATACGCACAGTCTTCAAGAACAAAGCAAAAGGGCCCGTCTTCAAAATTGTAGGGGCAATAAAGCTCAACCAGCAACTCATTTCTCTTTAATCCGGTGATAGAGCCTCGTGGAAAACACCATAAGATTGTACGATTTGAGAGCTGTTTCCTTGCCATTTTTTTTTCAGATGCATCTGATGAACAGAATTCACAGTCTTCAATGGAGAATTCCATCAATAGTTCAGAGAAAGTTGAAACAGAGCCTTCAGCAGAAAATGACATAACCACAGAAACATCTAAAAACTCTCAGGTAATGATTAAAAAAACCCTACATATTTTTTATTTTTATCCTGCTTTTCTGCATATCTTGTTTTAAAATTAAACTATAGTTCTGAGTTCATGGGACCTGAGACAACCAGTTAACTAGTCAGCTGTCTGAAACGAACTCTGGCTTTCTGGCCCATTGGTTGAGATATTATAATATTTGTTGTCTGCCTGGCAGTGACTTAGCTATCCGGTTGAAGAGCAGCCTGGACATTAAGGCTGGGAAATTTATTAAAAGATTTCAGCTGGGTTTCACAACAGCTCTTCCTAAGCAATTAGAGGATGCTCTATTTCCTAATATCCAGTGTTAAAAAACTGGAAAGATTGTAGGTCAGTTAGGGCAGCCATCTGGAAGAGAACCAATTCAGATAAGTTAATGCTGCCAGCTCTCTTCATTTTAAAATTCTAGTAAGAAAACATGAAGGTTGGATTAAGGATAGTGATGAAATATTTTTTTCTTTCAAATCTTTGAACATGGTTCCCGCAATTGTAGTAGAAGAAATGTCTGCTCCCACCCTTTCCTTTTGGAATCCTTATAGCCCATTCAGAGTGTCTGTTTCGAGGATGTCCTTTTGATACATTTTGGAGATTTTTCAAAGGTTTTTTTTAATGCTCGTTGTAGTGTAGAGAAGAGCAACACAAGTAGCTGTGTGTAATGATCTTCCGGTGTGACGTTGTACAATATATGAATCCTCTGATTTGGAAAATTACATGAGTAACTGAGGTCAGACTGATTACAAGAGACTCCTTTAATAGTGGTGTTATTTACATTTTGTCCTGAAATACAAAAATAGTCGGTTGATTTTATTCATTGCTAATGCTAATGCTAATTCTCTCTCTCTCTCTTTCCCCATACTAAGGACTCTGAAGGAGTGCCACCTTCTAAAAAGATGAAAGTAGAGGCTCCCTCTCAACAAAATATTGATGAAATATAAACTTTAGTTTTTTCCTGGGCAGTTTTTATGTAAGGTACATCAATGGGCTAACTTATCGAACAACCGTACATGAATATCTTCTCTTGGATGAGGACAGAACTCCGATAAACTTTCCAAGTTACCAGGCGAAAATCCAAGACAAGCCAAGCAAAGGTTTAATCTCTTCAGACACTGAAAACTTTTTCCTGTGAAGCAAAATGTTGAGCATTTAAGTTACTGTCTCTGAAATGGTTAGAGTAAACAACTCAGGAGGGGTCTACGCACTGTTTCTAATGTCAGAATTACAATTATGCTGCTGCTGTATTTTTTTTCCCATTCTCTATTTAACATTATAAGATATTTAAGAATGGTACAGGTCAGGTATTCTCTTCACATGTGAAGTTCACTGTTCTGATGTGATGTCTGCTTCTTGTTTTGGGGGGTTTTTTTGTGCCTTGTGTCCCAAAACGAAAACAAACCAGTGCTAATTTTGCAACTTCTCCTTTGCAAAGCGGCCTGTTTGTACAATGCCATATAAAATGTGTTCCGTTGTTTTTTTGTTTTGTTTTTAATATACTCTGGTGCTTACTGTCCTGATAAGAGATAACATGAGAGAAATCAAGAAGCCATTTTCACTGTTGGAGTGCAGACTTATCCACACCGATGAAGCTTGATTTTTCTGTACCTCCAGGGGTCGCTTATTTTTTTGAATGCACCATGTTTGAGCCACCAAGAACGTCTCCTGTGCTACCCTCACAGATGTGTATGCCCCAAAATGTTCTTGCTTTAGGGACTTTCTTAGTGGAATAATGCATTTTTTGGCTGTATAATGTAGCCTTCTTAAAACTGATTTCTCTGAAGTGGTTTCTGACGTTCACTTAAATTAGTGTTTATTTGGATAAAAAAGCAATTATGCATTTTAAGTACTTAGACTTGGAAATCCATATTTGAGCCTTTTCATGGATTCATTATAAATACAGGTTGAAATGGACGCACGCAGAACAGCAGATGTAATTTTGAATAGATATATTCTTCAATCATTTTTTAAAATTGAACTGGATTTCACTGTTTTGTTCTTTAACGAGATGTTTACTGTGGTAGAGTCTAGGCTTCCTGTACTTGAGGCTTGTAAATACAGCTTTGTGATTTTCAGAATCTCTCGTTCAGACATCTGTGTTCCATGCACGCTTGACTTGGCAACCGAGGCTGCCTAGAAGTCTTGTTCATTTTAATAGCAGCTGAAAGTGCAGAGCCACCTACACATTTGGGGTGCTTTTATGCCAGTTGCTGGGGGCATAATCTAGCAAAAAGGTAGTCATGACAACAATGCAACTTCAGTTGCAAGGGATTTGCACTTTGTCATTTTCAGTGGGGCTAAGTCATGGCTAGACTTGCTAGATTACACTCAGCGTTTTGCACATTTAAAGAATGGCTGAGCTTCTACAGCTCCTTTGGGTAGATGGGAACATTCTTTGTCTGCATGAGAAATGCTTATAAAAAGTAAAAGGTAGCAAATGAGAACCAATAAATTCTGTCACAGTAAAACAGCAACTGCAAAATGATTACGTCTAGATTGCTATGGAAGTAGCGGGTGGCTTTTTAAAAAAGGATTAGCTTCCAATCCAGATGCTTCCCTTAATTGTCGCTTGTGAAAAACTTTATTTCTGATTTCTCCAGCAGTGAAAATGGCTTTCGTTTTGACTACTGTATTGCATTTGCAATTAATTATGAAAAGAGTTGGGAGTAGTGGAGGTGCCAATTCTGACCTTCCATCAACTGTCTGTAGTGTGTTACTGCAAAGAAAGTAGCCATACATTCAAATTTGAGAATATCTTCTCATTTTGTGTTGAAATAAATATTTGCATCTCATCAAAATTAAATTTGCTTGCAAATTATTCATGACAGCAGCGTGCTCCTTAGAAAGTCTCTTTGTGCTCAGATAACAAATTCATTAAATCTCTGAAAGAGACATTATATTTGCACAATATACATAATTAAATGCTAAAGTGATATGTTTTTCTCTCATTTGTGTATCTGCTTCAGACATGGCGATGACTGGTTAAATAGCAGTTAGTATGGACATGACATCCATGTTTAACCAGGGTTTGTGGTTTTTTTGGGGGGAGGGACATGTTGGCTGATCTATGACATAGACAAATATATTTTTTGAACTTTAAAAAATATAATTATGTAGCTTTTAATTGATCACTAAAACGGTCCATGGCTCTGAAACCACCCTGTCCAGTAGTTGCTGTCTATAGAAGCTTCAATTTTTGTGGTTGTGCTTTGGGTTTTTTTTACAAAGTTTTCAAGGAAGTAGATAGGCTTTTTTTAATTTCAAAGCTGAATCCTGTATGTAATGGATAATATATCACTAAAATACCTCAAATATTTCATTTGGTAGAAAAGATTTATTGGCATTACTGACATTGATGAGTTTAGTGATAAAACTGGCTTCTTAATCTCTCCTGGGGCCTATTGCTGAAGAATAGTGTCCTTTCGCTTCATGGCCAATGTTGTCTTTGGGGGCAGCTGCTTTTCTGTGAACGTTAGATTGAGTTCTGCGCAGGAAAGATGCTCAGGAGTTGACTTTGAAGAGCGGCGGTCATTTTGTCATTCCATGGCTCAGAAAAACCACCAAAAACCAGCATCACTGTAGTCCTTGATTGGCGACTCAGACTCAGATTTGAACTTTTATCCACAAATGGGCAGACGGGGAAGGTCGAGAGAATGGAGTTGTACTATTTATTGCTGTTAATGTCTGTCAGCACCGTTTGAACGGGTTGGAAATGATATGGACAAGAGTATGCAGAGATTTTGCCGTGGTGTCCTGATTGTGGTTAGCGTTTTTTCAAAGTGCCTAATAACATTGATAGGCCATTCAGTTGTGCAGCGTGTTATGCTTTGAACCGTTGAAAGTTTAGAGCTGAGAACCAGCCGTTCGAGGTGGGGTTCTCCATCTCTTCAGACTTGGTCCCGGACCCAGCTTCTTGGTCCGGCGTCACCTTTACTGGGACTTGGTTTCAGCAACTGGTTGGAAATGGGGTGGATTGCAGATCCTGAGGGCAGAAGGGAAAAAATAAACCACCGAGATTTTGCATCACAGTGACCGGAAGTTCTCATGTGAATAATGCAGTAGTCCGCCAGGCCTGCTGGTGGAAACTGTGCGGCCCCAGCCCGTGGTGGACTGTATCCAGCATTAGTTAGAAATAGTGCAAGAGGTCAAGAAGTGCTTCCTTATCTACATTCTGGGTATTTGGACCTCCACCAGGTAGACATAAGCTAGCGAGGGAATTAACTGACTTTGACGGGGGACAAGCAGCCGGTTTTTATAGCCAAGCCGTTCATTTTGAAGTTCTTAGCTTGGGGAAAGAGTTGTTAAACATTCCAAAAAGTGCGGGCACTTTAACAACAACAACAATCAATGAGGCAGCATAAAAATTACTGGCTTGTGGGGGTGGCGGGGAATGGGAACGGCGGGGGGGGGGGTAGCTTTCTTCATCCTGAAACATTGTTATGTTTTGGAATGTTCTTTATATCTAAAGGCCTGCTAAGGAGGTGTAAAGATTTTTGTGGGGGGGGTTGTTTTTAAAGAAAACACCTAATCGTTTTTCCACCTTAATGATTTTGTGTGTGTTGTACAGCAGTATAATTTTTCACTTATTTATTCCATCAGTAGCTATGGTTTGTACAATGTACAATGATTTCATTTAGAAAAATAAAACTAAAATTCCAACACAGCACCGTGTGGATCTTTTAATTCCGATCGTCGGATTCAATTACAGTTTAAGCTTTCAAAGGGAGCGCCTTTTTTGTGACGGGGCGCCCAGTGGTCAGAGTTCTCCTAGCATTATCGCTTATTTGATTATATAGTCCACCTTTCTATTTAGAGCACCCTCATCTCTTCAGTGGCCTGATGGATAAATTTCTCTGCTTTAATATTGCAAGTTATTCAGCCGAAAGACAGTTTTATATCCGATACCTTGCTCTGTCTGCTTAGACCTATAGAACAGGTTACTCTGGACCAGAAGTAGGTCTCCTTTCAGTTCGTGGGTTTTGTATGAGGGCTTCTCTGGAACATAGGCAGGGTCCCCTTTTGCACAGGGACCCTGGAGACAAATGTCCCCCCCCGTTCAGATTTAGGGGGCAGCCACAGGTTCTCACGCCTGTGGATTTCAGGACCCCTTTACATTCTTGAAAATGATGGAGGACCCCAAAGAGCTTAGACTGGTTGGGTTATTAGCTATCAACATGTACTGCATTAGACCTCAAAACTGAGACATGTTTAAATATTTATTTATTTGACCTTGCAGACCCCCCGAAAGGGTCTCGGGACCCCCGGGGCCACACGCCCGCTGCTTCAGACAGTGGCTCCCCATCCATATCCGTGATACCGGTTTAGATTGAGGTACTTGAGAGCTCAGGGTCCCCGGAGCCTCCCTGGAAGCTGCAAACCTCGCTTTTCCATGGGGCCAGCCTTCCATCGAGGGGCCCATTTCCGAGGCTGAAATGTGGATGAGACCCCATTTCGCTTCTGGTCCTT